CTCCTCCAATTCCGCTTCCTCCTCCTCCTATTCCTCCTCCTCCTCCTCCTCCGCCGCCTCCGCCTCTTCCTCCTCCTCATCCTATTCCTCCTCCTCCTCCTCCTCATCATCATCATCCTCCTCCTCCGCCTTCTCCGCCTCCGCATCCTCTTCCTCCTCCTCCTTCTCCTCCTCCGCCTACTCCCCCGCCTCCTGCTCTGTCTCCTCCTCCGCCTCCTCCGCCTCCTCCTCCACCTCCTCCTCCACCTCCTCATCCTCCTCCGCCTCCGCCTCTGCCTCCTCCTCCGCCTCATCCGCCTCCTCCTCCGCCTCATCTTCCGCCTCCTCCTCCTCCGCCTCTTCCTCCTCCGCCTCCTCATCCGCCTCCTCATCGTCCTCCGCCTCCGCTTCCTCCGCCGCCTGAGCCTCTCCGCCTCCTCCACATCCGCCCTCTCCTCCGCATCCTCCTCCGCCTCCTCCTCCTCTTCCGCCTCCTCCGCTTCCTCCGCCTCCTTCGCCTCCGCTTCCTCCGCCGCCTGAGCCTCCTCCGCATCCTCCACCTCCTCCTCCTCATCATCCGCCTCCGCCTCCGCCTCCTCCTCTTTCTCTTCCTCATCCTCCTCTTCCGCCTCATCCTCCTCCTCCTCCACCTACGCCTCCGCCTCCGCCTCCTCCTCCTCGTCCTACTGCTGCTCTTCCGTGGTATAGCTTTACTCCTCCTCCTCCTCCTCCTCCTCCTCCTCCGCCTTCTCCTCCTCCTCCTCCTCCTCCTCCTCCTCTCCTCCTCCTCCTCCTCTCCTCTTCTTGCTCCTCCTCCTCCCTCATCCTCCTCCCCTCCTCCTCCTCCTCCTCCTCTTCCTCCTCCTTCCTCCTCCTCCTCCTCCTCCTCCTCCTCCTCTCCTCCTCCTCCTCCTCCTCATCCATCATCCTCCTCCTCCTTCTCTTCCTCCTCGCCTCATCTTCCTCCTCCTCATCATCAGCATCATCATCACATCATCATCATCATCATCATCATCATCATCTCAGCATCATCATCATCATCATCATCATCATCATCATCATCATCATCATCATCATCATCATCATCATCATCATCATCATCAGCATCATCATCATCGTCATCATCACCACCACCACCACCATCATCATCAACATCTTCATCTTCATCATCAGCATCATCAGCATCATCATCAGTAGCATTATCATCATCACCATCATCATCATCAGCATCATCAGCATCATCAGCATCATCATCATCATCAGCATCATCGTCATCGTCATCATCATCTTCATCGTCATCGTCATCATCAGCATCAGCATCATCATAAGCATCAGCATCAGCATCAGCATCATCAGCATCAGCATCATCATCATCATCAGCATCATCATCATCATCAGCATCATAAGCATCAGCATCATCATCAGCATCATCATCAGCATCACCATCACCATCATCACCATCAGCATCATCAGCATCATCAACAACAGCATCATCCTCATCCTCATCATCATCATCAGCAGCATCATCAGCATCCTCATAATCACCATCATCAGCATAACCATCAGCATCAGCAGCATCATCAGCAGCAGCATCAGCATCAGCATCATCAGCAGCATCATCATCAGCAGCATCAGCAGCATCATCATCATCAGCATCATAATCAGCATCAGCATCGTCATTATTCATGTTCATCCTCATCAGCATCATCAGCATCACCATCATCATCAGCATCGCCCTCCTCATTATCATACATCGTCGTCATCCATCATCATAATCAGCAACATCAATATTACTATCATCATAATGGTCATCATCATCAACAGCATCATCCTCATCAGCATCATCATCAGCAGCAGCATCATCAGCATCATCAGCAGCATCAGCATCAGCATCAGCATCAGCATCATCAGCATCATCAGCACCATCACCATCACCATCACCATCATCACCATCATCATCATCATCATCATCATCATCATCATCATCATCACCATCATCATCATCATCATCACCATCATCATCATCATCACTACCATCAACAGCATCATCATTATCAGTATCAGCATCATCATCATCATCATCATCCATATCAGCATCATCACCGTCATCAGCGTCAGCATCATCGTCATCATCGTCATCAGCATCATCATCAGCAGCATCATCATTACTCATCAATATTATCCCCGCATCCCCCTCCTACGCTCGCCTCCTTCTTGTTCTCCTTCTCAGCCTCCCCATCCGCATCACCATCATCACCATCAACATCATGCACCATCACGATAATCATCAGCACAAACAGCAGCAGCATCAGCAGCGGCATTATCATCAGCAACATCAGCATCAGCAGCATCATCGGCATCACCATCGCCATCACCCTCAGCATCATCATCATCACCAGCATCATCATCATCATCATCGTCATGTTTATCATCATCATCAGCATCATCAGCATCATCAGCATCATCAGTATCATCATCACCCCCTATCACAACGATCACCAGCAACATCACCATCACCATCACCATCACAATCGCCATCATCAGAATCACCACCGCCACCATCACCATGACCGACAGCACCCTCATCATCATCATCATCATCATCATCAGCAGCATCATCATCAGCATCAGCATCAGCATTAGCATCATCATCATGCTCAGTATCATCATCCCTACCACCGTCACCACCCGCATCCGAAGCCGCATCTGCATTATCATCATCATCATCATCATCATCACCATCAGCTGCAGCAACAGCATCATCATCATCATCGTCGTCATTCTCGTCATTGTCCTCATCCTCATCCTAATCAACATCCTCATCCTCTTCCTCACCCTCATCATTTTCTCATCATCATCCTTATCACATCCTCGCCATCCTCGCCATCACCACCATCACCATCACCATCACCATCATCATCAACATCATCGTCACCATCAGCATCAGCATCAGCATCAGCATCATCGTTGTGATCATCATCATCACCATCAGCATCGTCAACAACATCATCATCATCCTCATCAGCATCATCATGATCGTCATCGTGATCGTCATCAGAATCACCAACACTCTCACCATCACTACCATAATCCTCATCAACAACATATCACCAGCATCTGCATATCATCAACAATAGATCATCACCATCATCACAAACACCATCATCAGCATCATCAACGACCCCATCGACATCATGCACCAGCTCCACCTCCACATCCTCTCGTTCCACCTCATCACCGCACGAAGGTCACAGCTCACACCCGTCAGCGCGCGAAGGCGCAGGACGGCCGCCCGAAGGCCGCCAGGATCGGCGCGCGGCTGGCCCCAGAGCCGGCGGCGGAAAAGTTTATTTTTAGGGCCTGCGAGCGAACCCTCCTCCTCCTCCTCCTCCTCCTCCTCCTCCTCCTTTATCCTCCTCCTCCCCCTGTACTCCTCCTCCTCCTCCTCCTCATCTTCCTCCTCCTCCTTTCCTCCTCCTCCTCCTCCTCCTCCTGCTCCTCCTCCTCCTCCTCCTGCTATTCCTGTTCCCACTCTCCCCGAAGAGGGTGACGAGGACAGGAGAAGAATCGGCGGAGGGAGGCGAAGGTAAACTGCTTGACTTTCCCACGCAGCGCGGTTGGATGATGGGCTCTGGTCAACTTGCCCTGGCGCCAAGCGCGGGCGCGCCACACTCGGAATAAGCGGCTGAGCATGGTGGGCAAGAAAGCCGTTTGTCCATCGCCCACCACGGGAATGTGAAGGTGCTCGTTTGCGACGCACGCAGAAATAATTGTGACTGGCACCCCAAGTCACCCGCACTGTCGCAGCTCAGCGTCTCGATCAGACAATTGGCTGTCGGAATGCTGGCCAATAGCTGTGCAGGAGGGGTCGGAGTCGCACGTGCTAGAGTTCTCGGGGTGATGTAGAAAGTGGTACTGACATGTTCTGAGGAAGGAGGAGGCAGGCGAGGAGAAGTAGGGGGAAGAGGATGAAAAAGTCCTGGGAAGGAACCCCCTCAAGCTTGAGTGCATTCCGCTGGTGGTGCGCGGTCGGGTGGGTAAGGTCCTTCTGGCGAGCCGCCAGCACTCCGTCAGGCCTCCTCTCCAAGTGCGCTACCCCTCCTCCTCCCCCGTCCCTTCACCAGCGCCAGCACATTCCAAGTGCGGTGTCTGCGCAGCAGCTGCGCGCGCAACGCGAGGTCTGATCGCAACTATTCCAGACGACAAGCTCATTCGGCTCTGCGCGTTCCGACCACGTTCTTTTGCCCTGTCAAGGGGGGGGCGGCCCCCGAGAGAGCGGAAGACAGGGAAAAGCATGGGAACACAACGTCCACGAACTGGCCGTCAGAGCTGCCCGAGGCTGGAGTGCGCTGCACAGCCGCTGTAGGGCCCACCAGGCACGCGGCAGGCAGTTGCCAGACACGTCCTTCTCACGTATTTGACTTGCCTCCGCCGCCCGACGGAAGGTTCGTGTCGCGTCGACCCCTGCGTCGGCTCCTCACACCAAGGGGATCGTTCATCATTGAAAAATGAACCGTTTTCGAAGCTTCAAACCGTTCAACATCGAGCGATTCTGGGTCGCTGACAGCGGCGTCCAACGTTGAAAGCCGGCGGCAAGTAACCGCCGGTCGGCACGACGCGAGCCTACCGCATTAGGCTTGCATCCGCAGCCCTACTCGTCATCTCGTCTCGTGTCGTCGCGTCTCGTCGTCATCATCCGTCCCCTGTCTTCTCTTCCCCGTCCCCTCGCTGCGAGACGAGCCAGCACTCGTATCGCTTCACGGCGCTCGGCAGCTGCCGCGATGGCGCCACTTCTCTTGCCCATGCACCTCTGCGGCGTCTCTCCGCCCCCTGTCTGTCTCTCTTTTTGTTTTTTCTCTTTCTCTCTCTCTCTCTCTGCCCTCGG